ATTTATTTCATTGTAGCACTAAACAAATGAATTCAAACAAACAAAAAGAACTGACCACCAGATTAATTCTTTTAACATAAACACTTCTGAACATCACTAAAAACAAAAGCAGTTCAGCTTTAGAAGAGAAAAAGAAAACCTAATATGAAAAAATGGGGACTATATATTAGACAGTTCTGCAAACATTCAGTCATCAAATCCATTTACATACACATACTGAGAAGAGATAAAGCTTTAAGAGCTTTATTGAAACTGCAGTGCCACAGGCAATAACTAAAAAACCTAGTTCAGGAGAAGATACCATTATGGAAAGGCAAAGTTAACTGCTTATGAACCTCTTAGTTTAAGTGTGTAGTATTTATCTGTTCATAGATCAGTCAACCCTACGTGGAAATTTTCAGGTTTTAAAAGGTTTACTAAGTTTTTAAAAGATAATTTGATTCCCACTCCAGTTCATCAGGCAAATGGAGTTCATCAACACTCTCCAGTAAAAATTCACTTTAAGCCATGACTTAAAATCAATATTTGAGAAAGAAAAGTTAAGGAATAAAAAAGCAGAAACATGTAAGATGTTGCTATGTTAGAGGGAAGTATAATGTGCAATATAGCAGACTTACGGCTGTTGGGGGAACCATACATTTGAATTTCCCGATGTTTGTGAGTTTAACACGATTGGTAATGTTACAATATAACAGTTAAATGTACTTAAAAGGGTAAGAAAATTAAAAGAAAAGACAATATTCTCTGGTTATGTATATATAATGGTGGTAAAGCATTATTTTCACCCAAGATCACCTTTAAAAACCTGAGGGCAACAGTCTTAACTATAGACTAAGAACACTAGCTGTAGCTATTAAAATAGAAAGAGCTATCATCTCCTTTGAATACCTAAACTTTTACCACCTTCACTCTAGCTGTCTTAACAGATGAAGTCAGTGCATATGATGCATTTCTGGGAAGGAGCATGAATCCAAATGACTAAGAGACAGCAAAGATTCAGGAGGCATCATTATAAAAGCAGCTAAGAAATAATATGAAAAGAAGTAGGAAAACATCACAATCACAATTCTGGAAAAACACATTACTGAGTAATGTCAAGTCTATCACAATACCAATTTGAAGCCGACAGGCATGCAGAGCCACCGATGCGTCTTAGTATTTCAGATTCCTTCTTAACTCCAGAGCTGTTGAGCTCATAAACTCACAGTCCTTTTCAAGACTCTCATGAATATATAAATACTCTGCTCAGACATTACAAACCTCCTCCTGAACAGTTCTGAGAGCGACCCCTGAAGATGCTAAGCTACAAAACATGTGCCACAAATTGAGAAACAAAAGGATAACTACCAGTTGAGACTTTTCATAAGCTGATACAGGAAAAAAAAAAAAAAACTATATACTTCCTAACAACCTGGCCCAGAAGACAGAAAAAATAAATTATTCTACCTTTTATTTCCCTGTTATGCCAACTCTTTCTTGACTGATAAGACCTTAAAATCTTTGTGATGCTGGCCTCTAAATGCCATCCTAATGGAAATGACGTGCCAGTAACAAGAAAAACAAAACGCTTTGTGCCTGTAGAATGCACTAGCAAAACACACATTTTTTTCAGTAGGTACATAGAAATTACTCTCTGCAGCTGAACTGGAGGCTCCAGACCAAAGGTAATGGCAGTTACAGTACAATCTTTACAAGAAGATAGGTAATGAAATTCTTCCAATACAGCTCTTCTGGGTGCATTCATGTGGGTGCTGGTGTACAGTAAGCAACAGTTTCAATGGTTTTGCCTTGGCAATTGCTAGAGGTGCCAATTTGCCACCTGTTCCATGCACAGACAAAGCAGCACCTGCTATACAATCTTAAGTTTCTCCTCAGCCAGATTCCCCTATAGATGGGGCAACTATGAGAACAGAGTGTTCTGTGGTGAAGTTCCGTAAGGGTAGGCGTCACCTCAGAAAGCTCTAGTTGGAAACCAACCCGATTATCATTTAAAATGCTCCATATACACAGACACAACATGGTCAATTCCCAGCACTACTTCACCCTGCACACTCACTGGGCCACACATGAAGACCTAGAAGACAAACTATAGTATTTTTTTCCTCCACCAAAATCTTTTCTGCCTCCAGAGCTGTACACTGCCCATCAAGAGGTCTGAGCTGCAGGAGGACGAGCAGCAAAGCCATCAACAAGGCAGGAACAAGGCCCTCTTTAAGCAAGACCACCAGGGCAGGCTGTACTCTTAACATAGGCACTATTAAGCAGATGATCCATGTTAGTGATCTCATCACATGGACCACAGCAGCCAATTACCCTACTGGAATCCATTGCTACAGACAATTACGGCCTTGAATTTTCAGAAAAAAAAAAAAACCAAACCAAAAAACAAACAACAACAACAAGAAAACCCCAACCCTATGAGTTAAAAAGAAGCCACACGAGACATCAGTCTTCTTCACAGATGAAAGTAGAAAATCCTTCTGATACCCAGCATGCACCCTATTTCCTAGCTGCAACAGTGTGAAATTTAAAAAGGAAGAACATACTGATTCATTTCCTGACTCAGAATCCTTTATAAGATTTGTCTAGAGTCAAAGTTCATGAGGACAGATTTACTCATTCCCACCCGTTATCCCACAACCCCTGTAATTACAACCTGCATAAGCTGAAAAGACGCTAGGTGGTAATACCACTGACATTTTTCCTACCTATTAAAACACAGGGGTTTGTATTTTTGCAATGTTTTTCTTTTGTCTGCAAGTTTACTATAGTCAGTACTTGCAATTTTTTATTATTTTGTGGGAATAAAACAGTTTTGTAAGTTATACCATAACCTTGTTCAATCAGTTATTTTAAGGCAAATTATGTCTATATACTGTGTTCTATAGAGAAGTAAGCTAGACAGCACACTTTTAAACTGGATTTCATAACAACAACTATGTAACTACAGAATGCCAATAATTCTGTTCATACTAATAACCCATTTAAAAAACAAATGCTAGAACTAAAGGTCAAATAAACTCACTTAAAATGACCAAGAATTTCAATTCTCTTTGATTCACATGGATTAATTTTCATTAACATGAAACAAGAATTGCTAAAAGCTGAAGCTACTTGGACTGGGGAGGGGGGAAGGGAGACTCATCCCACTAAAAAAAAAAACAACAAAAAAAAAAAACAAACCCTTTTAAGATCCGAAGAAAATGTTACTTTTTACAATTTAAGTCTACTTCATTAGTATATTACTCCCATTAACAGGTATTTTATCAATACGTATTTAATTCTATTAATAAGAGAGTTTTAGGGAGTGCATTTAGCAATACTGTAAGTACTATAAGCAGTTTTGTAACAAGGAAACAGTTTGAGGAAAAGTTTAGATCAAATATACAGTATCTTTTGATGAGTATATGGGATCTGAGTATAGGATTTGGTCTCATCCTCATTTTGTAGCTGCCCAAAGACAGACATTTCAAATATATACAGTATTAACTGTTCTGCAAGCTGTGAACCTGGTCGTAGCACTGGAAAGTACTGTGTACCGCAGGAAGAAAGACTCAAACTATATACTTGCATTTTTCAGCAGCAGACAAAATTAAGTTCTTAACCTATAACTTGCATCTTTACTAGTAGATCACTGGTGAAATGTTTTATTTTAACTGTCATTTTGCCCCTTGGCACGAGAGTCAGTTTCTTAAACCAACCAACCAATCACAACAGCAAAATAAAAAAACAAACCCGAGAACAAACAACCCTTCAGAAAGAAGGGGAACCTATTTATGAACACCAATAAAATATCATAACCACATTTAAGAAGATCCTTCTCCTCTCCCTCTCACATTACAAATCTGATAAAACTGAAATTGGAATAATATTTTACCAATTTTATAAACACCACTAATTTCTCTTCATTGTCCTAACTGTTACCTTAAATACTAAAACAAATGTTTTCACACCGTAACTACATAACTAAATGTATTCCTAATACTACCAACATGATAAAATGGGCACTGGTAAGTACTGGATATCATGAAATAAAGACAAACTTCTGTTCAGAAAGGAGAAAAGTTATAAGTATTCTAAGCTAGGAAAAATGTCGGGGGAATAACTTGATGAATTAAAAAACCCTCTTCTACATGGAGAACTATCCAAATGGGACTATTGAAACTTTGAATATAAAAACTTAACTATAATTCTGGAAGACTACTAAAAAAGAAATTCTATTAGCTACTTCAAAAACTATCCCTCTGAAGTAAGGGTTCAAAGTTCTATTGTAAAGTATTAAATAATGAAATCTGCACAGTTCTTTATGGGCACTGAACAATACACTTCAAAACTAATTTCATAATTGAAGTGTTTGAAAGAAACACTCTAGAAGCAAAAAATTATTTTAATTAATATGCAGAACATTATAAGATGTTCAAGGAAGACTCTTATAAAAACATTTATGAAATTGACAGTAAACTAATATTTTATGCTGAAATGAAAGAGTAGGAAAGTATAAAGCTTTTCATAATTCTACCTTACCAAAATGTGTAAGAATCAGTAAGAAAAAGATTGATGATTCTGAAGTTAGTGACTGCTTAATTTCAAAATTTTCACAATTCAAAAACAAATGCAGAAAAATATAATTGCTTTCAGAGAGCTAAACACTTGTATTATTCATCTTCTAATGTTGCCTGTCATTATGAACCAGTTACAGACTTGTACTTACACCTGTGAAAATGTGGGCAGTTTCAGGTCAGAATAGGCCACGCTTCCTCTTAAGTGTAACAGAGGCAAGAACATTTAAAGTCCCTACTTTCCTGACAATAACCAAAAGAGACCAAAAATCTGCTCTGAGTGGCACAAAGTAAAGTAGAAAACAAAGACTGGTCAAGAACACAGAAAAAAATGCTGCTTTTTTGATCCCACATAATAACCAATAGCGAATTGCCATATATGAAAAATAATTTAAGGATTAACCTAAATATCATTCTGGATATCCATTGTTGCATCCTTACCAAGCTTCAGGCAACAAGAAAGCATATTCATGTGGTGAAGTAGTCTCTGGAAAATTGGAGAGAATTGCCTGTCTGTGTGGAAGTAAAGCTGATCCATGGAAAGTGAACAAAATTTCCAGGGCTCTGACATTGCTTTCCTAAAAGGCAAAACATTAAGTTGCAGAACTAGCTTAAGACTGATTTAGACTGAAAAGGAGCAAGAAATGTAAGCTTAGGTCATGCAACAAATATTTAATTTTAAAGTTTTCTTTAGCAATAAAGAAAATTATTTCAGGGTCACTGCATATATTTATTTACAATCAAGCAAATAAACCTCCTACCTCTTAAACTCCCACTGAGACTCAACCAAGTTCAAAGGGGGGAAAAATGCACTGAAATGCAAAAAATCAATAACAAAACAAAATTACAGTCTATCAAAATAAATATTAATACCCGAGCATAAGTTCTTGCTGAAAGTACAATATTCTGATTTCTGAACTTCTTGAAGAATTCAGCATCATAGTGCTGTTCAGCTGCATGAGGCCCTCCAAGGATTTCCTTAAAAAAAAAAAAAAAGATAGAATTATAAAAGGTTGGGTTCCATACAAGATTTACACAAGCATCAAAAAGCCTATGTTTCTTTATCTTAGGATATGAGATATATGCAGAAAAGCATGCTGTTGTTTTTTATTTACGTATTAAAAAAAAACAGTACATTTTTGATTGATAAGCTAAGACAATTCTCTGCCTTATTTTAATTAAGGTTTAGACAACTAAGGTTTAAACAACTAAGTTACAAAGAGATGTAGTAAAAGTCATTATGTGACTAGTGCCAACTGCAAAGTTAAAAAACTAAGTAAAATACAGATCGACATTCCAAAAAATTTCGGAAAATCTGAATAGAACTTGCTAATTAGACTGGCAGAGGAAAATAACAGTAATCTTGCACCAACTCCACATCTCATGTTGTTGCCTAACTTAATTCCCCACAGATACAGTATGATCGAAGCAGGCTTCTGCCAAACTATACCTCTGAGCACTAGAAGCCAGCTATTTGCAACAATAAAGCAGGAGAAACACAGTAGCTTGAACAGAAAGCAGCTTACTTTTATCGAGTAAGAGACTACAGCATTTTGAAAAAACTATGAACATTAATACGACAATATATAATCAAAAAAAAGATGTGATGATGTGATGAAGAAGTTACAGGACTACCTGTGGAATGAGAATTCAAAAGAACTGTAGGTAGTTACCAAGTTTCCTCACCTTGTAGGTTTCGAGGCGATCAAGGTAAGTTAAGAGCTTCAGCCTACTACGGCAGAGTTCTTTTTGTTCCAGTGTCAGCCTGTGTTCAAAACAGGAATTTTCAGGCTTGCAATCGATATTGTTCATCATGTGCATATGAAGACAATAGTTACACATTTTAGTGTCTTTGTGCACTGGAATGTATTAAGAAATTAAGTAAACAAAGAACTCTGACACAATATAATGCCAATTAAAATTTAAACCACTTTCCTATTAGGAATAACATACATGAGAGTAATTACATTCTTTCAACTGTGTAGTTATAACAAACCTATAACTGCTTAAAACATGCCCTAACATTTCATTTACTTTGAAAAGTTTACTGATAATAGCAGTTCTTGACGCTTCTTGGCCTCTTTTTCCTTTCTAGTATCCATTTCTTCATCTGGTGACAGAAAGTCTTCATAGAGAACTTCAGTGTCCACTTCCCCTGGTAAGATAAATCTGGAAGACAAAACCAACAATGTAATCAATGTTGAAAAAGATAAAACCAAGTTTTACTGCTGTAAAGTAAACATCACAAGCCAGTAACAGGCATTATCTCATTTCCCCCCACAAAAAAAACAACAAACAAAAAACAACAAACCAAAACAAACCACCAGCCACACAGCTATGATGGTTGACAGACATTTCTGAATTCCACAGGTAGCACATGGGATTAACAGCAGCTTCACAGGATACAATGGAAATAGATGACTGCACAAAGAATGGCCTCTTCTATTTCTACCACCAGAAACTGAACACTGAAGAGAAATGTGTCTGCATGTATTTCCCCACTGACCCACTGTGTTTTGCTTTGTTCCCCTCCTCACTTGAACCAAAGATGATCATACAACAGTTAAAACATACAACAAAAAACATTTATAGGGGTAGCTGCAGCTTCCATAAGAGGCAACAAAAACAGATTCTCATAGAAAAAAAGCGATAACAGAAGTTCTCTATAATGAAGAAAATAATGGGCATCTGAAGAAGAGAGAAAATGTGGTACAAACAAGCAGTAATTTTACCTTTTACAAAGGTAAATGAGAATAGGTACCTGTGGACATCTTCAGAATAGTTTGATTCAAAGCATTAACTGTATATCCTGTGAAAGCATCTTAACATTTTCACTAGTGGTTGATAAAAAATGTTATCAAATATATGAGAAGACCATACACACCACTCTTCAGAAAAGAAAAGACAGAAACTCTATACCCAAACCTGCCACCATCTTCTCCTTTTCCTATGGCCACAAAAGCCTCCAAGTCTGTGCCTTTCAAGCCATACTGAAGCAGCTTCTCAGCAGCATCCACATTCTCCGGAACTCTTTCCAAGCACTCGTGAAGAACCCATGCACGCTTCTTAATTTTGCTCTGTCCAAGAACAAGAGCATAGATACAATGTTACATGCTTCAATCCAAAGCACCGAAACTGGAGATATTAAAACCTTTTAAGGTGTTGATTCCACTCAAGAAGATGTCAAGTTAATCTGATGATTGACAAAGTGAACCAACAAAAGAGGTGAGAATGCAAAGAAACAATTCCCTCAGAGTATGTGTGGCAGAAAAGGGCACAGAAATGCCAAGTGATTTAGCAGAAAATTCACAACTGGAATAGATGTTATTATTCATATTCTTTAATTAGTACTGCTCCTCACACTAAATTAAATGTGATGTTTCGGGACTAAAATGCAGTTTTTATAAACCAAGTGCATTTCACAATAGCACTAGTATCATTTTCAGTATCAGCCTCTTCACATGCCAGTAGGATTCTGTGATAGAAAAGACACACCAGGGCCACAAAATATTATTGGTCATATCTGCTGATCTTCAGCTGAGATTACATAACACGTGGAGAATAGCTACTTGTAGAAATCTTATTCTGACTTTCAAGCAATATCAGACTTGAGGGGAAAAAAAAAAAATAGATGGCATTTCTCTTGACCTCTTGAAAGACTTTACCCTATAGCACCATTAGATTGTGCAGCTTTAACACTTGCCTGCTGAGTTAGAAGCCTTTTTCTAAGCCAAAAAAACCCATGTTGGATTTGACTGAAAAGCTACAGTTGCAGATAGAGTTCACCGTGAATTTTACTATTCAAACTTTGCTATATAGCTAGATATCAACTTCACCTTCCCATCTGATTTTCTGTAATACTTCGAAGTTATTTAAATGCTTTATATTTCTAATTATTAGTATTCGTTTGTCAGGTAACAATCTACTGCCAATTACATTACAGAAAGCATGCTGCTATTAATGGAAATTAGAAGTTACTACAAAGAAAAGATTTTGATTAACTTCCAAGGTCTGTGGATCAGGCCTTCAGTTAAATTAGCAAGATAACACTCCTCCACATGACAGGAAATGGAATTTGCAGGACAGGTCTCCAAACTGCCACCAGTTTATGTTGCATAAATTAAAACACAATTGAGAATTCAATTTCTGTAACAGGAACACTGGTAAGAAAACTACAAGTCACAAAACACAAACTTACCAAGTAGTCTTGAATTGAAGCAACATTAACAGTCGACTTTCTCCACTGTCTTTGATACACAAGATCAGAATCAAGCCCATATGCTTGAGCCAAAGACAAAGCTTCCCCATATTCTTCATTATCAATCTAAAAAGCAAACACATGAAAGTTGAAGTCATCTGATCTCCATACTAAACAATAAAATAATTCTGTGTATTGAAGCAGGTAGAGGGATAATTACTGTAGGTATGCTTAAGCAGGTAGGAAAGAGAATGGTGCAAGATAGAGATGAGTAAAACTGAGATGTGACGGACACATCTAGAAAATCAGAGATTTTTCCTCAAGAAAAAGGAAGATGTTATTTAGGTAACCACTATGACATCAGCTACGCAGTGGGCTGCTTTACAATCAGAACTATAGACATGGCCGAGACAAAGTACTCTCAAGTACTACAATTAATCTTAACAACTAAAAAGCATCTGTTCAGTAAGACTGAGTCACAGGCCTAATTTGTATGTAAGCCTGAATAAGAAACATGCAGGTAAACTACATTCACATCAGAGTATAAGCTAACCCATTTCCTGGCTAATAACAAGCTAAACTGATTTTGTTCAATATATTTGCAAGGTCTTTTATTATTTATAAACACTTACATGAGTACACTTCCAAGTTTGGCCAACCTAACGATGCACAGTGTCTCCTCAGTGACCTGCAAACTTCAACTCATTTGAATTATTTAAATGCTAGTTTTAAACAATGATCCCTTCAATTAGGTAACATGGTACTCTGTCAGCTAAGACACCCTCAGAATTACGTGCCTAAATCCTTCTGTTAATATAGCAAAAATTAAAAGAAAAACAAGAAGTTTTTTCTAAATTAAGCTGATTAAGAGAGATGTGAGCTTTCCTTCTATGCATACTTTTCTTTGGTAGAGTTCCTCTGGAGTCGTGGATCTCAAACTGACAAGGCGGAAATTCTTTGTAATAGTACGTGGACGTTTCCGTGGAGGAGCAAATCGTTCCATTTCTGTCACAAAGTACAGGCCTTGCTTTAGGTAGCTGAAGTATCTATCCTTGGCAGAAGTTTCATCATCTGAATCAGAGTCATATTCTCCCTCATCTTCATCACCAGGCCTGCTCTCCAAGCGTAATCGTTTTGGAACAAGTTTTATCTCACACTGCAAACAAAATAAGAACATGAAGCATCCACCTAGTACACCTCAACTACTTTAGTGAGAACTGAGTACAACTCCACCTCCAGTACTTCAGATTTCAGAATCAACACCTTTCCTCCCCTTCACCTTTAAATCCTTTATTTCTTAGCTTGCTTGGCATGATCCACAAACCCTAATTGCATCTGTCGCCTAGATCTGAGGCCTCATCCCTCACCTACTGAAGACAGACTGAAAGTTTCTTAATAATAATCCTCTATTACACTAAATGTCATACACCACTTGAGACAGGACAGAACTATGGAGGCATCTTTGTACACTATTACATACCCCACTGCAGCATACAGCGATTTTTTCAACTCTTAGCTATTCAAAGCAAGGTTTTCTGTTCAATGCAAATGTAATATCAGACAACATCCTTAGGCTGTAATATACTAGTCACTGGCTTATCTTATTTCCAGAATAATGAAACTTTCCAAAAACATAAACGCAGCTTTAGTACTTACTGAGATATTCTAATAAATATTATTTTAAACTTCTGTCTGAGATGTTTAAGACCTATTTCAGAGTAAGCCTTAGGGAAGAGTAGCTTTCTTCATTTCAGACAAAATTCCCAGTTAACTTTGTTATGTTCTACTCACTCCTGGAATCCTACTAAAGATGAACAACAACAACAGAAAGTATCTCTCACATGGCTTTGTCTTAATTGAAATGTGATCCTCATTTCTTTTAAATACACTCCCTGTATAAGAAGCATCTGTTTCAAAATGGGAGAGGGATGCTTGCAGTATTCTTCAAATGCAGTAGCATACAAAGCAGTGAAAACTGTTGACATGAACTGTTTCCTGCAGCAAGATTCCTCTCAGTCAGACTCAGCCTTCTAGGAGTTTTGCTTCTACTCTCCAGAAGTTATTTGACAATCAAGTTTTTATTAAGACAGTTAAATTGCAGCAAGTTCAGAATTTCCCTGCAATATCTACCTACACATGAGGAAACAGAATCACTTTTTGTTTTGGTAATAGTAACTTTCTTTTAACTACACCACACACACATCACCCTTAGTATTACATACACAAAAGCAAATTTTTCTGTTACATTCCAAAAAAGTATCAATCTGTGTACATTCCTCACCTCTAGACTTAAAAATCCTCCATCGTGAGCTGAAGTGACCTGAGGAGAACTTTCAAACCATTCACATGACTTTCCTAGCAAGTTTCTTAACGTCTTGACTGATGACACAGTCAGCGCACCAGAGCAGCGAGCCAAGATGACACAATTGTCTGCCCACCAATTTACATCTATCAATGGGTAATAGGATTCCTTATCTGAAATAAACAAATACATAAGTAAGAATGCACCATACAAAGAAAGATAACTTTAACGACCAGGTAAGAACAGCATTTACTTCAATTTTAGATCAATTATATTTTACTAAATCAGTTCTGCGTTAAATAAAGCTGGGGGGGCGGGGGAGGAGGAACAAAACAAAACAACCACAATTGTGAACGTAGTTATTTTTTAATATTATTTGGCAAAAATTCACAGTAAACTGATTTACTTGCACAAAACAGGACAAATTTGAGACATTTGATAAAGATCTGTTTCAGTACTTCCCAGGCTATCCTTGACCCAGTCTCCCTGGCAACAAACACAATACTGATGAAAATCATAAAAGGTTACACTGCTTCTGAGGACGAGTGACAGCTATGAAGAAGGCTCCTGAAACAGTCTACAAGATGAAGCTGTTTAAGAAGATTAAAGCAACAAAAAAAAAACAAACATCACCCCGACCGAGGACTGTGTCATTTCTAAGACTGTCTTGATTATAGTAACTGGACATTGGGACAAAATGTTCATGAGAGTTAGCTCAATTTGTTCACTACAGCATCATTTCCTACCTCCCTGATGAGAGCAATCTTTCCCCAGACAGCACTGAGAAACAGATAAGCTTATCACTTTTCTGTTAAGCATTTCAGTGCTTTCTCAGCAGCCTACCCATGAAGGTGAGATGAAATAAGACAAAGACAGAATTACCAAGAAAAATAGTAAAAAGTAATAGAAATATTTCAATAATACAGATGTATAGGAGCAGTAGTGAATGGATCATGGAATAGCTATTTATTTCTGCACTCTTGGAAGAGCTGTGCAATAACCAGGTGATAAATGACTGCACACAATAACCTGAATTTTGGGAAAAGATAGAGACTGACATGAGGTAAATCCAGTCAGAGGAAACAAAGCCCTTTTGTTTTAGAATTTTAAACTAGTATCTTTAAATTATGTTAACTTTCAAGATTTATTAGACATTCACAGAAAGAAAAAGTAACGGTAAGTTTAGGTTTTAGACTGTTGACCCTAATAATATGTTACCTGCAATGTAATGATGTAATGATTTCTGACACAGGCTGACATGTCTGCTGAATGTTCAGCATTATACAGAGTCATAATCACATGATTAATAATAAATGAGGTCCTGTACTAACTGAAATACCATCTTATTTATGGTTACGGCTACAAAAGTATTCTTAAGAGGAGATATAAAAAAAAAAAACTTTTGTGACACTGATTTAGTTATGCCATGCTACAAATTAAAATCATACATAGAATTTTGGCCTCTATTCTGAGATTTAATTAAGCCATTTTAGGTTTTTGAATATTTGTATAAATATTTTCAACTACTGTCATATAAAATAATGATCTAACTGTACCACATACCTTTTATTTTCTTTCTTTTTTCACTAGAGAGTCTCCAGTCTGGATTAAGTTCATCATAACCTGGCTAAAAGAAAAATAATTAAAAAAAAGTGTGAAACAAAATAAACATTATATACAAGTAAATCTTCGTCATACAGACAATCTGTTTATTTATTCTACTGCTGACCCACTCATTTTTCAATAAAAATACTATTCATGAATTCAAACTTTTTCTGAAAATAAAATGTACAGTTGCTGTAGTGACATTGTACTTTCCTCCAGACAGTCAAATTAAAAAAAATAAAAATCATACCAAAATAGACTTCTGGATTCCTAAAAGACCATATTAGAAAACAAGTGTCCAATCAGACCTGGCCTAGACAGAACTAAACAGTAATCGCACCCTAAAGACTTCTGAAATAAAGGCTCCCCAGCCATCAGAAGCCTACCAAGCGCTTACTTTGCATGTCTAAATGCAGGACTGCAAGCATATAAATGAAGAATCTTCAAAACAGCCCTCCTGTTTGCTCTGTGTAGTGTTCCTGAGTATCAGCCTAGTATGATGCTGAAGTATTTACTATGGTTATTTTCATAGTTGTGAAGTCCCTTTCAAGACTAGTGCAGCAAGACAAGCAGCATTATTTAATGATGCACTGCAACTTTCAGAATTAGTAAGATGTTGCTCTGTTGTTTTTTAAACTTTATTAATAACAGAATACATAGAACTACACACACACAGATAACAGTAATCCTGCCCCTAACTGCCATGCAATGCATTAGCCTAACCAGATCTGACTGCTTATCCTCTAATAACCAAAACTTAAGCTACGCAACACCACAACCATGTTTCCAAGTCTTGCTTTTGCAGTCAGATCAAAAAGAGCACACAGCAGTGATTTTCAGGATGGCAACATATCATTATCTCCACAAGTATTAATGACTCAAATCTTTCCTATAGTCAATTATTTTTGCCCCCCCTTTTTTTTTTTTGCAATTTTTCCTAAAAATTCTTCATTTAACCTCATAGTCATCGTAACACCCAAAGGAAGACTTCTTCCTTCATTTTCTCCTCTTCATCGTTACAGAAGCCTGTGCCCATATGTAACATCAGGGAAGTGTTTTGTTTGTAGGCCTCATAGTACCTACTGCACAATGCACAGACTGCAGAGAAATTCAGCGGGGAAAAAGCTGTCAGTTTTATATGAATGCATAAACCCGAAGAATTTAAAGCTGTCTACAAAAACTGGAGGAAATTTTTTTGCATTGAAATTTCTAAAGGAGTCAATACACAGTGCAAAGATTTATCCTGCAAAAGGCAGTTATAAAGAAAAATCAGAAACTGCAAATATTTAATCATAACATAATGTGGCTTTATTAATCAGCATATGCACTAAAACACAGCTGTTTATTACTAAGTAGCAAATGTTTCATTCTACAATAACTTTCTAATAAGAAACACACTTATGTACAATAAAGCCATGTGACATCAATACTATGTAGGAAATATAGGTGGCAATTAGTGCCATATATGTCTAACAATCAAAGATACCATCTGACTGGTTACTCTGTTTAAAGTTGATGTCAGTTCATGTCTTCTAGGTTTAGAACATAGCACAAGGTACTGCAACTGAAAAGCCTTTCCATATCTACTGGTCAAGAAATTAATGGGAATAAACCCAGAATACTTTGCATACTAGTTTGAATCATGTCAGATTTGTCATTTTTCAAAACACGGATACATTTTCCTCACTAAAATAAAGTGTTATCTTTACTCAGACAATGTATTAGTTATTTGGAATTTTCTTTGAAAACTAATTGATTTTGCAATCCCAGTGTCTAAATTCACACTAGTCACATAAAAGTTTGACAGTGTCTGTGCAATCCAAACTTAAGACCCCCTACTAAGTTTTCCAAACGATTCCTGTAGAAAGCAGGTGACGTACTAATACCAGTCTGATGAACAAACAATTCTGGAGCATTATCTGACAGAAGGTAAGGTAAATTTTGAGGGAGTACTAGATGATTACATTAGACACTCAGCAGAATTTGGTTTTAATCATTCAAAGTTACCAGTGTTGACCTCCACTTACATTTAAAATAGCATTTCAATCTATACCCCTGCCAATGTTACCCAGATGGCACTAAAATGCGTCACAGAAAAATTCATTGTATCACAAGTGGTTCTTTTTTCCTAATTTTAAGTTTAAGGCTTATGATAAAACATAGAAAGAATACTGTAAAAGTAAATACAGGGCTCAAAAAATATGAAGTTCACTGCTCTACCTACATACTATCTTTCCGGTCATCTGAACATCTCTCACCTCCTAGGAAAATAGATCCTCAGAGGATTAAGATACATACCACAAGTATCTAAATCCTTCTTACCTGATCAGTTTGCTCCCATTCTCCTTGTTGCCTGAGAGATGGAATAGACCAGATCGTCAGTTTTCCTGAGAAATGAATAGCTGCCAGAAGAGCTCCATCAGGAGAAAGATTCATCTTGAAAACTCCATCCTGCCAAACATTATGTCAGCAAAGTAAAGCAAAAACAGAACAAAAAAACACCTAAGCAAATAAAAAACAATTCTATGATTCTACACTATAATTCAAACATTAAAAAACCACACACATACCAAAAAAAAAAAAAAAAAAAAAAAAAGAGAGAGAAGGACACACACCCCAAGAATTTCCATGAAAAACCCACAAAACCCAAAATATTTTTTGTTCTATAGTATGGAAAAGAAAATGTACAATATTCCATCCTGAAAATTTAACATGCAACCTGTATTAAGGAAGAAAACTACAATAACATGAATAAATCTTTAGAAATGTGAACTTCTGTATCACATTGTTATCAGGAAACAAAATCTGAAAGCATGGCATTCCTAGGAGAACAGTGCAGACAGCAATACAGAGCTACTTGGAGCAAAATCTGCAAGATAGTTCTTTGTTAAGAGAAAACATTCAGTTTTCTACTGCCCTGCCTCTTAGGTCCACCCAAAGACGACTGTTAAAATACACAGCTTAGTACAGCTCTTCTTCCCTGGGAGCAAACTTTTGGATGGGCATCATTACAATTAAAACAAAAAAAGCGGTGGGAGGAGCAGGAGATACAAGAGATACACAGATTAAGAGATCTTGCAGAAGCAAATTGTTCATTTCAGGACACTGAATTGGAATTTAAGAATCTTCTGGGTAACTACAGACTAAACATCAATATAGCATCAGAGTAAGTCCATGTAGATGAAATAATTCAACATTTGCAAGTAAACTTTATGACAGCTACAAAAATTCTCCTGGATTAAGTTTTCCTTCAGATCTGAGTATCTTCAGAGGCAGAACGTACTTCTAACAAAATATTTCCTTAAGGATTCATGAACTTCTACACAGTTAAAACTGGATCTATACACTATTTCACAAGACAAGAGCCTCTAAATATACACTCAAATTTTGAAGGCAAACTTAGTGCCACTGGCAGTGCATAGCAATTTCTGAAAACACAATTCATATTTACTCTCCCCAACACAACTCAACTGTTGTATCTTCAGAAAGATCATCCACAATTCATATTTACTCTCCCCAACACAACTGTTGTATCTTCAGAAAGATCATTAGGTTCTCAGAGAGCCTAGTCTTCACTGAAAGAAAGCAGAATGTAGATTCACAAAAACTCTATTATTTATAAAACCCCATTTTGCTAGTGCAGTTTGCTTTTAAAAACTTCCTGTGTAGTAATGTGAGAACTGTCCAAGTCTGCAGCTGATCAGTTTTTAAGCCAGCACCTCCCTTCTCAGAAAACCCATCAGCATAAAATGAAGTACAGAAAAATTACTAGACGTCCATATGATTAAGAAGTTCAAGTGGCATTTCTAGAGACCATTACTAGTAGGTAATAATATTCTTTTAGGGTACGCTTGTTTATTTGAGTTTAGAGGTTTTCTTATTATTTTTATTTCTTAGACTGTTTTAAGTTCTAGCTATGCCATAGAAACAATGACTATCAAGTAATCTGCTCACAGCTACTGAAAGCACGGCTTAAATCCAAGCTTAAAATGTGTTTTTAATTGAAAAAGGGAACATCACTAAGGTGGGTTTTTTTAAACCAATTAAGAATTACTTGTATTAGAAAATTTTCTTCAGTATTCTCTCATTACATTCTTAAGCAGCTAGAGTACTGCAATCTCCATTGTAGTTTCCCAAGGAATTTTACATGCCTACTAATGGCAATTCTCTCTTTACAAATCAATTTGCATGCACAGAGGACAAAGAACAAAAGACTGTTAAAAGACTTAGAAATGTGAATCTAAACTATATAACCCATTCAGATAAATGATCAATACTACACATCACAGACCTTTTAAAGAGTTAAACATTTATGCTGTAGTTTCTAGTAATTCTCTTGCTGTTAAATTTTGATGTTGGGTGTCCATTAACATATTCAAATTTACCACCGAGCAGTGTTATGCATAGAGATTCATCAGTGCTTTGGCAAAGACGGCAATGCTGCCTAAGTAAACAGCATGTCAATTTAAGAGAACTGCAGAACAAGACACTTAAAACCTCAGCAGGCTGGCACTTCACATTTTAGAAGTGTCACTTAAGTTAGCAACACTAAGAATCAAATCTAAACACAGCTAGTTCTAACATACAAGTCCTCTAGCTGCTGTGCCTGTCATACCTTAACACTGTTGCTGACTTCCCACTAAGAATATAAACTCTACCTCACATATTTAAACCATAATCTCTGAAACTGGATTAAAACACACAAGGATGATTAACAATCTCTGCTCTTCTTTGTAAATTTAGTACTGGCAAGTGCAAAGAAGCTGAAGTTTAGTACAACTACACTCAGCACTAGACTTTACTTCCAATACAAAAATTTTACTTCAGCCTTCTCTTTTATATTTTCAATGAAGATAATAAAATCTCTCCCATTCCACCCTTGAGAGAGAGATTCAGAAAGATCTGTTTTCCCCTTCCAATCAAGCACGCAATTTCTTCTTCTAACCAGTCACCTAAACATCCCAAAAATCTATTAAGGTCACTTCCAAAGTCCATGTAACTTCAGACCAGCAATTTTTCCTCTCAAGAGGACAGTTAGGACAGTAGACAGATTTCTACTGTTCTTTTCTATTGTAGAACAAAAAAAAAAGGGGGGGGGGACAAATTGTTTACAAAGAGGGCAAGAGGGATAAAAAAAGGAATCGAAAAAGGCTACACACAACTAGTAGACAAGAGACAGAAAGTGGTTGTGCAGTACTGGCTGTACCGGTAGCTCTTAAGGCAGGTAGAAGAAAGCCACAAGCACTGTATGCAAAGCCTTGCACACCTACACATCAGCATGACACTCAAGATTTGCCACTCACTAATCCAGGGAGGAGGAGAATACAAGACCCATACCGATGGTTTGTTGAACAAGTTTAATTCTGATTAGCAGCCTCATTAGGTTCACACACATCCTGGTAGAAGTTTGACCCATGATAAACCCTTGAAGCTACTCAGCAAAATGTTTCCACGGTATCTCATAACAGACTGAATCAATCAACTAGAATTATAGAATGGTTTGAGATGGAAAGGACCTTAA